ACTGTTGCTGCCAAAACCTCCAACATCAACAGCAAGAAATTTGTAATCTGCATCCACAAGTGCCAGCAGCACAATAGAGAAGGTGCCCTTGTAGTTGAAGAACTGGGAGCCAGAGTTAGGAGGAGCCTGGATAACAATATGCTTTCCATCCAATGCACCTATGCAGTGGGGGAAATTCCACCGCTCTTCAAACCTCCTGGCAGTGTTCAACCACATCTCTTCTGTTGGAGATGGCATGTGAGATTGCTTCATGACCTCCCAGATTGTTGTGCAGGTCTCTCTGACTATCTGTGCTACAGTTGAAATTCCAAGGCGAAAACTGGCTCCTATTGTTGTGAACGAATCACCACTGCTCAGAAATCTGCAAAAGATAACGAAGACATATTTGTATATGATTATTTTAACAGATTCATAAATTAATAGTGTGTTTCTGCATCAGATATCAGTTACAAATGGCCTATGATCTAACTAGCTGGAAAAAATCACGTTAAACAATTCTGTGACACGTTTTAAAAGCAGAAATCAGTTTTCCTCTATGTGTGGTTAATAACAGCCAGAGAGAAAAGCAAAAAATATGAGGCAAATAAAATGTTGGCTAATGGAAAATGGCAAAGTGGTAGAAGTGATGATCAGTTGTTAGCTTATTTCAATGCAGTTGTAACACAGTTGTCAAATCAGCACAGATGTGCTTGTGAACTAAACTGATTTCATTACAAATAAACTTAATTTTTTTTTAACCTCAGACACACGGCCAGGCGCTGTTCTGGGTCGATCGGATCCCTGTAATTATTTTTCTGTTTCATCGTGTGGGGGGTCAACAGCACCAACAACTCTTCAAACTGTCCCACAGACATCCTGAAATAGGTCCTAAAGGCGACCATGATATAACTTCAGTTCCTGTACCAACCGATGAAACTCGCCATGTTCTCTCCTTCTTTTCAATATAGGATGGACCCAAAACTTCTTTGTTTTCTTTTTTTATGTAGCAGGACAAGCAGTACATCGTCGTCGCTTGATGTGGAGTCCATCTTTGTAGCGCGACGTTTTAAGAAAATATTGCTTATTCGCGTCGCGTTCGGTGTGAAAAGGCCTTTAGGGGGGTACAAAGTATACCTAGAACAGTGAGAATTAACAGTTTGCTACAACTGTTTAGCTGACGATATAGACACTGATGTTTAAGATTTTCTGGAAAAAAGTACACCCACCTTATGTGAAATTAGGCAGAGGTTAGTCTTAAGATTAAAGTAAAAGGGTACAAAGGAGGAGTGTAAAGTCATTTACAATGCTAGGAAAAACAAGAAAATAATTCAACACATGTTGTTTTCTGTCTCAGCTTCAGACCCTGTTCCAGTCCTGGAGGGAATGGATGAGGACATGGGCTTCTCTCTACCTCCGGTTCTGGCAGAAGAGACGGAGGAGCCACAGGAGTCGGTATCTCGACCACAGCCCAAGAGACAAGTATGCACACACACACATACATGCAAACTCATATGTAGATGTAACAATTAGTAATTTTTGTGTTTGTCTTGCAGGGGAACAAGAGGCAGGCGGTAGAGGAGAGCTCCAATCTAGCCATGTCCTCTTCTCCCCATTCAGCAGGGAGACGCTCAGAAGGACGATCACTGCCTCTCAAAGCTCGCTATGGCATCAATGCTTGGAAACGATGGGCGCTGTCTCCTTCTGACCAATCAGATGACACCAAAGCAAAGGACAGCTCCAAACCAGGTACTGCCCTGGCTCAGTAGCTACAGTATGAGAATCCAGTTCCATTGCCTGGCTGAAAATGAAGGACTGATCATCATATTTGAAAACGTGTAGGATGTGTTTTCTAACAGCAGTCGTGTCCATTCCCATCTCCTGCAGCATGGTGTAAAAGTAACCTGTTATCCCTGAGTTCAGAGGAGCTGAACGTGGCTCTATCCCGGTTTGTCAAAGAGGTTTGCAGACCCAGTGGGGAGCGCTACTCTCCAGACAGCATCCTATACCTCTGTCTGGGGATTCAGCAGGTTGGTACCAAGCACCTCTCAAGTAGAGCTGCACAATTAATCATTTTGTGAGCGTGTTTCAGATCCTTGTGATAATGATTCTGCTGTGGTTGCATTAGCGCGGAGATGCCTTGCATCAAACCAGTCACTCCCTTCTCCTTGCTAAGTTGCGTCAACTAACCGCAGAGTGATTTATTTCATTCAGGACTAGATGTGCAGGGCAGGTATCGCAACATTTGAAAAATAGTTGCAGGAGGGCACAGAATATCTTCTCTTCCTGTCTACAGTTCATCACATGATGTAATGCATTCTTGCCATTGGTTAACACAGCTTAGCGAGGAAAAGGGAGCATTTGATTTGATGCAAGGCATCTCCGTGCTAATGACCGACAGAGAGAAAATGCTGTGGAAAAATAAAGCAGGCTAGTCTGCATCAACCCTGTAGGCTATGCTTGATATGGTTAAGGGAAGTACAGGGTATAACACTCGTTAGGTTCTGATAGTGGAAATGCAGCATTAGTATGCAGTGTGAACACAGGTGTTTTGAGTGCGCTGTTGATGGCCACTATCCTAGCACAGTGCAGTACACAGTGAAAACATTCGAATGTCAATCTGTGAAGCCATTTTCCAAAATTGTATTTTGATTTACATCTGATATTATGTGTTCTCTCCTCTTAATATTAAACTGTAATTTAACATCCCCGGGTGCACATTCCCTCTGTTTCTCTCTTTATTTCCTGTCACACCTCTACTTTTGATAATAATAAAGGGAAATAGGACATAAACATACTTACATTATGCAGTTATAAAAAATAAACAGTAAAACAACAGCAAGGAATGTTTGGTCATTCCTGTAGAGTTTGCAGCGTTTTGACTTCCTCTGTTTCCACCATTCTATTGTGGTTATACTCACCAAAATAACAATGACATGTTAAATTGTAAACAATATAAATATTCACATGGTGGAGCATATACACCGATCAGTCATAACATTATGACCACCTGCCTAATACTGTTTACATAGGAGTCAATATGGCAGTTGGTGGTCACTCCTGTCACTCTGCAGCTCACTGTGCATCTTCTGTGAATCCATTTACTTCCACAGTTCTACTGTCAGGAAGAGCACAC